TTGGTGACCTCATCCACACATGTCAAGTTAATATACACTAAAGATCCCATGCTATTTTTAACTGTAAAGCATTTATTGGACCCAAGTAAAAACTATACCCATCTTGTCCATTCACTGCAATAGACCTGCTCATGTCTGTACCCATGTCAAGCCCAGGGGATGCAGACATTATAAATCTTATTGGAGTCACTTCTGTGTTTGCAACAGGCTTGGTCAGGAGGCTGTCTCTCCATTGCAACTGCTTCATGAAAACCAATTCACCATATACCCTGTCAGCGTAGCTGTTGCAGCTGAAATAGGATCCACCTTGTCAGCCACCTCAACTAAACTAAACAAAAGTGCGAAATCAAAGCCCTCTGCTCCAGCAGTTCACAGCACGTGAACATATGCAGACAGATGGGTGGCAGTTTGCCACACTGCACGGACATGTGACTTGTGGCAGCACAGAACAGGTACAGCACCTCACAAGGATAGCAGCCCCTGGGAACGAGGGCCTCTTCAGCCAGCCTGCACATATCAGCAGCCCCTGCGAATGAGAACCAGGTGCACAGCTTCATTTGTCCCACAGAGGTTTCTCTAAGCAAGTCGCCAAGGTGAGCTGAGATTACAGGAGCTTTGTTCTACAAACCACATAAATTGTTTATTCCAGAGCCCATTGGGAGAGAGAGATGATGAGAACAAGTGCAAGGCTTGCTTGTGAAGCTGAAGGCAGCAGTCAGGAAACACAACTGCTAAATACAAAGCCTGAGCATTCTGGCTGACAATTTCTGTCATTTCAGTCAGATGCAAACCAACTGACCTACTACTGCAGAGGGGAGGGAACAATAATCCCAATCAAAAATGAAATCCAATGGCATGAACCTGTCTCACTTCACCTTCCTCTTCCAAAAAGCATTTGAGACAGCAGGAGTTGAAAAAGTGGTGCCTATGAAGCATTCATATCTTTACAGGGGGCTCCTAGTGCCTACAGCAACCCTTAATTCTTTGTCTGCCATTGGCAAGCATATTGTAGAGAGTTTTTTGTCTGACAAACATACAGAATCAGAAGGTATAAGAATCAGACAAAAACACTATTTGCAAAGAGTTAAAAAAAAAAAAAGGTCATCAAGAATATAGGAGTTGTGGAGAGGGGCATAGAGAATAGAAGATCCCCTAAAAGGATAACATGACAGGGGTGTCTCTCTTCATTGAGCTGTTTAAGTCAAGGACAGAAAGGGAACAGAGTAAAATAAGAGCCATTTTCACTTCTCTCCTACACAGAACTACAAATGTATTTGAAGAAAATGAACTGTGAGATGATGGGTGTAAAAAATATATTGGTCTACCATGACTGGTGATGGTAGTTACCTTGTATGTTTAGGCATGCATCCAGAAAAAGGTGACTGCTGGTTCACAGTTATGAATCATGAATCTCAAGAACAGAATAAGAGGCTACAGTGTCCTGAACAGAACAAACCAGCAGCAATTTATAGAGACCATCAAAACACAGCTAACTTCTAAGATGTCAATAAAAAGTTTAATGTGTGGCAAGACAAAGGAAAAATCAAGGAGATAAGCACACTGAGAAAGGGCCATATAAATTTCAAACATCTCTGCACGGATTTATTGTCTTCAAATGACAATAGTCACAAAACTCCATTCTTTGAGGCTAGAAAAGACAACGGCAGTTGTGAAAACATAGGTACAGTAGCAAGAAAAGTGATTTAGTAAGGGAATGGCTTTATCAAACTAGAGAGCAATACCAGGTTAAGTGAGCATTAGAAGATCAGGTCCATGATTCTGATACAGGATATGTTAAAACACAAATTGTTTCTCTCCATACCTTCCTAAAGCCACACAAGTAACCATGACTACTTCTCTTAGCTTTCATCCAGTCTTTTAAAGGTTCACCAGAGACTTTTAAATGGTTAAAAAGTCATCTCCACCTGAGGAGAATTATTTTCTTTCCAGCACTTGAGAGCCAAAGCACAGATTTCAAAACACATTCAGCTCCATGGAAGTATCTGTCTTCACATCTACTGTTCACTGCTCTTCCTCAATTCTTTTTCTAAAACAGTTATCCCTACCTTTTCAGTTTCTCTTAACAGGGACTGTCTTGACTGTTCACCTTGAAGTAGTGCATTCTGTGTTTAACTCTATTGTTCAGAAGACTAGACCCAGAAAACTATGGGGAAATAACACCAAATAGGCAGCAGGGACTCACCTGGTTACAGATTTGATGCTGTAGGCTCTCTCCAAGTTTCTAGCTCTCATCATTTCCTGTTTTGTGAGAAGTCAGCAAGAAGCTTTTCCTTCTGTCTTGTCCTGTGCCTTTTCCAGCTTTCTGACTCCAACTATCCAAAGTGGAACAAATCAGGAAGAAAACTTCTCCAAAATGCTTAACAAATCTTCTCAAGACCCTCAGGCTAGCAATTGCCTCCTCCCAGGTAACTTCTGTCCTAGCTCCTACTTTTCTGGCTATTAGCCTCAGGTGCTACTCCAATCCACTCAGCTTATTTAATAAAGTGCAGCTGGGATACTCTGTGCCACCACATGAAGGTACACTTTTTCCTTACACCTAATGTCTCCTCACCACAAATAAAAAGCTGGATAACAGATAAAGAAAATATTATGTACACTGCACTTCAACAGTATCAAGAACACAGAAAAATCCACAACAGAAGAAACTTAGAAAAACTGCAGAAGCGTTACCATTGAAAGTTTCTGAGACACTGCAGAGCTAGCATTTCCTGATTTTAATCCCTGTTTAGGAAAAACAGAGAGGCATTACAGCCCAAAACATACAAGACACTAACATTCAAAAGCAGTCACAACATGAGACTGTCTTTTCTTACTCCAAAGCTATTTCAAAGTTTACCAAAACCTGCACAGGATCATTCAAGTATGAAAACATCCAAATAGAAACACTTGCGTGATGAATGGTTACAGCACTAATTAAAAAAAAAAAAAGTCACTACCTCAGTACTGCATTCCAACAAAAGGAAGGAAACTGGTTGGGAACAGCTGGGAGTTAATGTAGCAGGGACTAAAGATGGGGCGGGGGGGGGGGAAATG